ATTTAAGCTCCAAGCCCTCACTCATTCCCTGCCAGATTATTAAACCTACCATGGTACATGTATCCAGCCATTCTTCATTCATGTTCACAGACTTGTTTTCCTGCCTTGTTTTGACCCCACACCTGCCTCTAGGCACCTCGCCGTGGGTGTCGAGGATGACAGCCCACCTCCATGCCTCGCCGTGGGTGTCGGGGATGACAGCCCTCCTCCACGCCTAGTTATAGGTGTCTGGGACGGCAACCCACCTCCACGCCTCACAGTGGGTGTCGAGGATGACAGCCCATTTCCACACTCTCAGTATCCTGAGGGTCCCAAGCATCCCGATGGTCCCAAGACAGTTGCAGGCCTCCAGGCCTCCACAACTACTGCAGATCTGACCCTATTGCCTGCTGCAGATCAGTCATTCCCTGCCAGATTATGAAACCTCTCGTGGTCCATGATATCCAGCCATTCTTCATTCATGTTCACAGCCTTGTTTGCCTGCCTTGTTTTGACCCCACACCTGCCTATAAGATTCCTCACCTTGCCTACTCCTTGTCTACTATTGGATTTGCCTTTCTAATAATGGTAACAACTTCCTCTTCTGACCAAATCACTACGTCGCATGGATTACCCCTCTTGGACTTATTGGAAATCTGAACCCCTGTACCTGGCACTATTTTGTCTCTCAAACCCCACTCTCAGATTTGCCCCCACAAAACTACGCTATTGCAGCACTCCTTGCAGCTGCTCTGCTCCTCTGCCAGTGAGTCATCTCTGCAGACTTTGCCAGGTGACTTTTCCCACTTGCCTGTGAAGGCCTGCCACCACTGTTGAATCCTAACCTCTTCTGCAGCAATAAAAATAAATAAAATCTGTTGTCATTTTTACTCTTATGTCTGTCTGATTCTGAATCCTAAAACCTGAACCCTGACAGAATAATATGGCCAAAAGATCTATTCAAAGCAGACACAAGAGCAGCTCTCTGATGTCGAGGGCTCCATATTAAACGTGGACATTCAAATGCAGCTTTTTATGACCATGTTCTGTGCTAGGTTTGGCACACCACCCTCAGAAACTTCAGATCTGACCCCATCGCCTGCTGCAGATCTGACCCCATCGCTTGCTGCAGCCTCTCTCTCTAATGGTTCCCTGTCTGCCTATCCTGCACCCCTTTCGCCATGTGCTGGATGGTTGCCCGGCCATCCACCTGAGAGGTTGCCACATGCTAGACGACCTCCCGGCCACCCACCTGAAATCTGGAACAGCCCTGGAAGGCCCTTCTGGCCACCAGTCTGTATTCTTGCCATCCTCCGGATTCCCTCCACCCACCCGGTTCATTCTAGCTTTTCCTAGTGGTCCATCAGGATGCCAGACATTAAAGGTGGGTCTATGTGATGATCACGCTCTCTGTACCCTGCCTCTCTCTCAGCCTCTCATGTCATGTTTCTAGTCATCCTGTTCTATCTTCCTGCCCCTGTCATTACCATGCCCGCTCTGCTCAGTCACCGCAATCAGCTTTCATTCCTTTCACCTGTCACCTGCTCTATTTAAGCTCCAAGCCCTCACTCATTCCCTGCCAGATTATTAAACCTCTCATGGTCTATGATATCCAGCCATTCTTTATTCATGTTCACAACCTTGTTTGCCTGCCTTGTTTTGACCCCACACCTGCCTCTAGGATACCTGACTTTGTCTGCTATTGGATTTTCCTCTCTAATCACGGTAACAACCTCTTCTTCTGACCAAACAACTATGTCACATGGCTTACCCCTCTTGAACTTATTGGAACTCTGATCCCCCTGTACCTGACCCTGCTTTGTCTCTTGGACCCTGCTCTCGGATTTGCCCCCACAAAATTACGTTATCGCAGCGCTCCTCTGCAGCTGCTCTGCTCCTCTGTCGTTGAGTCATCTCTGCAGACTTTGACCGGTGACTCTCTTCTCACTCGCCTGTGAAGGCCTGCCACCACTGTTGGATCCTAACCCTTTCTGCAGCTATAAAAATAAATAAAAACTGTTCTCATTTTTACTCTTTTGTCTGGCTGATTCTGAATCCTAAAACCTGAACCCTGATAGATGGTCCTCCTTTTACATGTGAACAGCAAGTTCTGGATGTCACCAGCAAACTAGCTGGTCCACTATGTGAAGGTGATATTTGTAAGACTGAGTTTGTTGCAGCTCCTCGGACTGATGAAGTTTTTTTGGATAAAAGATGAAACGTTTCAACAACGAAGTATCCGTTCATAGGACCTGACTTAACTTTGTTAGATTTATCTACCTGGATTATTGATCATGCATCAGGACATTTCTTTTCCAACCAAGTTTTATCCCCCACTGCTCAGCCTGTCTTTACAGTGCCTGGATTTTTTTTATCTTACAGGAGAAGAATCGCAGAAAAAGGCTCCTCACCTGAACCTGATCAGAGACTAGTAAGTATCAGCTTTTATTTCTGTTTGACTTCTGTGAATCTGAATTTCAGTCCCTAATATTAATAGGTTTTCCCTCAGTGCTAAAGCACAAAAGCTGTTTGTCTTCTAAGGGAGCCAAACTTTTCATTCTTTACATTCTTGTATGAAATGCCTCCTTGGTGCTGCGCTTAGTCATCTCTGAGGCAGTCTACATATCCGGAGAGGATGTCATTCATTCCAGAGAAAAATGTACAGAAAGGTCTGAGATTAGTGACAGAGCAAAAGCATTCTTTTTAATCCTCAAGCTCCATACTTCACATGCCTTCTTATGCAGATATTTGAAAACATTTTTTCTGAGTTCTCGTCTCATTTGTAAATCAAAAACCACCTTCAGTTTGTGGCTTTGGTACCTTTTACACTTTAATAAGTTGTCAATCTTAAGGACTGCATTGTTGATAACATGTTCGATTTGTTCAATTTCTTTATTTTGTTTTAGATGTTTGACGTATTTTAGATGAACCATGTGGTTTTAGCTCGTGGGCCACTGACCATAACGTTCTTTTTAAAACCCAAACACTCTGACTCGTTTGTGACCATGAGACTGACTCCTCTCTGATTTTGGAATCTTGTGTCGGTTTGCCCAACAGGAGGAAGGTGATAGCAACACAACCCCTAAAGTGTCAGCTTGTAGCACGCCGGGTGAGTAACAGAGACAACCTGCAGGCTCCGGACCTTAACCCATCCCTCTAAAACAGGCCTGATCCCACTACAAGAAACTATTTGTGTTTATTTTGATGTCATTACATCTCTAAGCATTGCTTCAATCATTAACATGACGTTTTTTAAATGTTTTGTTTTCCAGACATGCCCAGGAAGCCATGGGAAAGAACAAACACCATGAACGGTAGCAAATCTCCAGTAATTGGGAGGTAAAGTGTCACCATTCTTTTCCAAGAAATGGTTGGTTTCATAATTCCTTTTTTGTGAATTGGCCAAAAGCTTTGAAAGCATTTGCAGAAGATATTAATGCAGCGTGAGACTGTGACGCTGCTAAACGTCCTCTTTAGCAAACTTTAGGTCAACGTGGCATTATTGTCAGCTAACATTAGCATGATGCTTTTTCTGGGGCCATTCAGTGCAGCCTAACACCACTAAAGCTTATACTGCTTTCATGTGCACTTTAAATGACCCCAGCTACACACTGTCATGTGAAGCTAAAATAGTTTGTGTGAGAATGAAAAGTAAAATTATATTTGTTATGGCTGAACAGAAACCAAGAAAACTTTTTCAATTCAATTCAATTTATTTATATAGTGCCAAGTCAGAACAGAAGTCAACTCAGGGCACTGAACATAAACATTCATTTACATAAAATAAAATAAAAAGGACTTCCGGTAAGATGGCGCCCGTGTGCATGGCTTGCAATCCACCTCTGCTGATGGTGTTCGGATTATTTCTGTTTTGTTCGTTTTTTATCTGTGGCATGAATTCACTCCTCATGTATGACCGACAACAGCTTCTGGATCTTCGTTTTTCTGTCACTGAAGTCGCTTATTTAGACCATTATGAGCGTACCTCTGTCCAGCCTCTCCTGAAAAAAAAAACCTTGACCCCTCAGTCGTGTCCAACTTCCAGCCTGTCTCCAAACTCCCATTTGTTTCTAAAGTACTGGAGAAAATAGTTGAGTCCCAGTTGAAGTGCTTCCTGGAAGGTCACACCATCTTAGAGCTATTCCAATCTGGCTTTAAACCTCTCCACAGCACTGAAACTGCCCTGCTGAAGGTCTTTAACGACATCTTCAGATCCACAGATACTGGTGATTCTGTGCTGCTTGTCCTATTGGACCTCACGGCCGCCTTCGACACCATCGACCATGAGATCCTCATTGCTAGGTTAGAGCAGTGGGTGGGTGTCACAGGGTCAGCCCTCAATTGGTTCAGATCCTACCTCACTGACAGATCCTTTTGTGTCTCCATCAAGGATTTTAGTTCCGCAGAGGCAGAGCTTAAATGGGGTGTTCTGCAGGGGTCCATCCTGGGTCCCCTCCTATTCTCTTTATACCTGCTGCCGCTTGGTGCTATTTTCCGGAAACACAACATGCCCTTCCACTTCTATGCCGATGACTGTCAAATTTACTTCCCCCTAAGACACAATGATACATGCTCGATTCAACCGCTGCTCGACTGCCTGGCTGACATCAGGGACTGGATGGCTTTAAATTTCTTAAGTTTCAATGAAAAGAAGTCTGAAGTCATGTTGTTCCCTCTCAACGACACGATCACAAACCACTGCATCGACCTCTCTGCTCTAACCCTGTCAGAAAAACAAAGAGTCACTAATCTGGGAGTGATAATGGACCCTTCCCTGAAACTTAACAATCCTGTAAACATGATTGTTAAATCGTTTCTTCCAGCTGAGGCGGCTGTCTAAACTGAAGTCCATATTGTCCAAAATAACCTGGAGACAGTAATACATGCATTCATTACATCTAGGCTTGATTACTGCAATTCGCCCCTGTTTGGTATCAGTCAGACCTCCATTGTACGACTACAACTGGTCCAGAATGCAGCAGCCCGATTTTTAACCAGTACAGGCAAAATAGAGCACATTACTCCAGTTTTGGCCTCATTGCACTGGTTACCGGTTCACTTTCAAATCCAGTTCAAAATACTGATGTATGTCTACAAATCACTGAACAGTGTCCCTCCCCCCCCCCCCCCCATCTCTCTGATATGCTACAACCGTATGTCCCACCACGTTCCTCTAAGGTCAGCGGACCAGTTGCTCCTCACAGTTCCAGGAACTCGTCTTAAGCACAGAGGTGACAGGGCCTTCTCTGTAGCAGGACCAAGACTCTGGAACGAGTTACCTCTGTTTGTCAGACAGGCCCCCTCCCTCTCGGTTTTCAAGTCCCGTTTAAAAACTCACTACTATTCAGTATCTTTCAACACCAGATGATCTGTGTTTTGATCCTGTATGCTCCACACTGGTTTGTTGTCATTATCTGCATTGTTTTTTATGTCTATATTCTGATTTACCTCATTTTTTATATTGCTTTGTGTGTTACCTGTTGTTCTGTCTGTACAGCACTTTGGTTGGCCTTGTCGCTGTTTTAAGTGCTCTATAAATAAAGTGGTATGGTATGGTATAAAATAAGCCGTTTAGTAAAAGTTATCTATTTAAGGAAAAGAGATTGCCAGCAGATTGTGTTTAATCTTCACTTCTTCGCAGTGTCCCATCCTGAGTAAGCATAAAGGCAACAGTGGAAAGGAAAAACTCCCTTTGAACAGGAAGAAACCTCCTGCAGAACCAGGCTCAGAATGAGCAGCCATCTGCTTTGACCGGCTGGGTTTGAGAGGACAAGAAGTAGAAGCAAACAAACACAGAATGGCAGGTCCAGGTGTACTTTCTGTAGGAGTACCAGTAAATACAAAAAAACATGTTAAGAGAGAAATAATTACTTACTGTAACTGCAAGGTAATTACATAATTTCCTCCACAAGGAGGAAAATGTGTCAGGAGACAGAGGAATAACAGGAAATTCAAGAATGTAGGACTGAGGGTTGCAACTCTAATGTGGGGACAATGACAGGCAAAGGTAGAGAGCTGGCTGACATGATGCAGAGAAGGAAGGTAGATGTTTTATGTGTCCAAGAGACCAAGTGGAAGGGCAGCAAGGCTCGCAGCATGTGTCCAAGAGACCAAGTGGAAGGGCAGCAAGGCTCGCAGCATTGGAGCAGGGTTCAAACTGTTTTACCATGGTGTGGATAGAAATAGGAATGGAGTAGAGGTGGTCCTGAAGGAGGAGTTGACAAAGAATGTAGTAGAGGTGAAAAGAGTGTCAGATAGGGTGATGTGTCTGAAGGTAGAAGGTCTGATGCTAGATGTTGTCAGTGGTTATGCTTCAGAAGTTGGATGTGATGTGGAGGAGAAAGATACATTTTGGAAGGATCTGGATGAAGTGATAGAGAGTATTCTCAGGGAGGAGAGAGTGGTGATGGGAGCAGACCTGAATGGGCATGTTGGTGAAGGAAACAGAGGATGAGGAAGTGATGGGTAGGTTTGGTGTCAAGGAAAGAAACCAGGAAGGACAGATGGTGGTGAATTTTGCCAAGAGAATGGAAATGGATGTAGTCAACACTTGTTTACAAAAGAAGGAGAAACATAGAGTGACCTATAAGAGTGGAGGAAGGAGTACGCAGGTCGACTACATTCTGTGTAGAAGAGGAAACCTGAGGGAGATTGGAGACTGTAAGGTTGTGGCAGGGGAGAGTGTGGCCAGACAGCATCAGATGGTTGTGTGTAGAATGACTGTTGTTGTGAAGAAGAGAAAAAGAGTCAAATCAGAGAAGAAGACCAAATGGTGGAAGATGAAGAAGGAAGAATGTTGTGAGAAATTCAGAGAGGAGCTGTTAAAGGCTCTGGGTGGTAAGAAAGAGCTTCCAGATGACTGGACTACTACAGCAACAGTAATTAGAGAGACAGGTAGGAAGGTACTTGGTGTGTCATCTGGACAGAATGGATGATAAGGAAACCTGGTGGTGGAATAGTGAAGTGCAGGAAGCTGTTCAAAGAAAGAGATTAGCCAAGAAGAAATATGACGTGCGAGGACTGAAGAGAGGAGACAGGAATATAAGGAGATGGAATGTAGAGCAAAGAGGGAAGGAGCTAAGACAAAGCAGAATGCATATATTGAGTTGTATGGGAGGCTGGACACTAAAGAGGATGAGGAGGACTTGTACCGATAGGAGAGACATAAGGGTCAGGCTGGAAAGGATTTGCAGCAGGTTAGGATTGTTAAAGATAGTAATGTTTTAACATATAAGGAAAGTGTGATGGGAAAATGGAAGGAGTACTTTGAAGAGCTAATGAATGAAGAGAATGAATGAGAAAGAGAGTCATAGAAACTGTGGACCAGGAAGTGGGAAAGATCAGTGAGGGTGAAGTCCGGAAAGCTCTGAAAAGAATGAAGAAGGGGAAGGCAGTAGGACCTGATGACCAGTGGAGGTTTGGAAATGTCTTGGAGAGATGGCAGTGAGTCAGAGAAAGTGTCAGAGTTTATTTATTTATCATTCACACCACATGTGGTTCATGTGAAACGAAATTGTGTACACAGGGTCCCAGTTACATCCAACAATAAAATGTAAAAAGAAAAATAGTAATAAGATCTAAGATATGAACTAAGAAAAATGTTAACTAAAAATACCCTAAGTATTAATAGCATAAAAACAATACGCCGAACAGCAGCACAAACATGAGTCTGTGTGAGCAGATGAGTACGAATGAACACATCAACACGAAACAGATCAGCAGCACCATGAAACAGATCAGCAGCAACATGATGTGATTTTTCACAGTGATTATTCTAGTTAGAGATTCATGAAACTAACAGCCTCAGGGTAGAAGCTGTTCCTCAGTCAGGTGGTTCTACACTTAATGCTCCTCAACCTCCTAACCGAGGGGAGCGGGGCAAAAAGTGTGTGTGCTGGGTGGGTGGGGTCCTTCATGATGCAGGTGGCCCTCTTCCTGCATCTGGAGGTGTAGATGTCTGTGATGGTGGGGAGGCTGACTCCAACATCTTCTGTGCAGCCTTCACCACTCTCTGCAAAGCTTTTCTTTCTGCAGCTGTGCAGCCTCCATGCCACACGTTGATGCTGGAGCACAGGATGCTCTCCACTGCACACCTGTAGAAGGAGGTGAGGACTGAGCTTCCCAGACCAGCTCGCCTCAGCCACCTGAGGAAGTAGAGTCTCTGATGAGCTTTCTTCATCAGGCTGGTGGTGTTGTTGCTCCAGCTGAGGTTGTTCTTTAGGTGCACACCCAAGTACTTGTAGCTGGAGACCACTTCCATTGCAGATCCTCCTATGTTTGGGGGGGTAGGTGTGTTTGTTCCTTGTGAAGTCCACGACCATCTCCTTGGTCTTCTTCATATTGATGTGAAGGTTATTCTCTTTGCACCAGCTCTCCAGGTGTTTCACCTCTTGCCTGTAGCTGGACTCATCATTGTTTGTGATGCCTCCCATGACCACTGTACTATCTGCAAACTTTACAATGTGACAGCCTGGATGGGTAGCTGCACAATCATACGTGAGCAGAGTGAACAGGAGAGGGCTCAGCACACAGCCCTGAGGGGAGCCAGTGCTGAGGGTTATGGCGGAGGAGAAGTTGTGGATCCTCACTGACTGTGGTCTGTTTGTTAAAAAGTCTAGTACCCAGTTGCAGATGGAGGGGCTTAGTCCTAGTGTGAATAGTTTGTCCATCAGGGTTTTTGAGATCATGGTGTTGAAGGCAGATTTGAAGTCCACAAAGATCATACGGACGTAGGAGTCCTTCTGCTCCAGGTTGTTGAGAGCAGTGTGGACCACAGAGGAGATGGCATCCTCTGTTGATCGATTCTTGTGGTATGCATACTGATGAGGGTCCTCGTTGATGTTGATGGTTGTTTTGATGTGGGTCATGACCAGTTTTTCGAAGCATTTAGCGACTATCAGGGTGAGGGCTACTGGCCGATAGTCATTCAGACCAGTCACTGTAGAGCTCTTTGGGACTTTTAACTTTGAGACCCTTTTCAGTTCAGGTTTCTTCCTTGATACGGAGATGAACTTTAGGGGATTTTTGGTCAAGGTTTTATGCATGTTTTTAACTACTATGGCTGAGAATGTTCACTGCCCATGAACCATATTTTTGAGTTAGCAAAGGGAGCTGGATGAGGAGCTGCTTTGAGACTGTAGGCACAGCTGTTGCTTCATGGTCACCTCTGAGTCTGTGAGCTTGGAGGAGCTGATAAGCATATAAAAACTTGTGACTGGGCTTCATGCGTGTACTTTCTGTATATCTGTGTAACCTGTTGTGAAAATTTGTCCTTGCAAGAAGAACCTGTTAAAAAATCTTCTGTTGTTGTCGAGTGTGGCTCTTTTGAGTAAGTAAGATAAAGCGAGGATATTTTTAGCAGTGAGTGTGGAAGAACTTCTGGGGTCTGACAGGAGTTTTTAGCAGCTGTGGTGTGTTTGACGTTGTGTGTGCTTCCATGCATGTGTAGCTTCGTGCTCTTCATCAGTGTGGGTGCATGCATCAAGGCTGTCTTGGCTCCTCGTTGTGTCTGTTGGTTTGAAACAAACTAAACTGAACAGTTCATATCTTGTGATGCTGAAACAGATTAAAGTGTTGTTTAGTCATTTTTCTTTCTTGATGTGTTAAGTCCTGTGAGAGCTCCTTCTTTGCTCTGAGTTTCTTTCTGCTTGTCTCTTTGATCAGACCTAAATCCACCCCAACTCCAACTGCCTCCTTAAGTGCCAATGGTGTGCCAACAGAAGCTGTGGATTACGACAGATTGAAACAGGTAAATGAACACATGAATCATTCTTAATGCAAACTAAAAGTTAGACCTCTTTCTCCGTCTTGTTATTGTACAACAGTGAAATGAGTCTGTCACTGGCTGTTTGTGACAAATGTCTTAATATTTTCTTTTGAACGTTACGCATAAAGTTAGATGGCTGGCTGGCTGGATGGATGGATAGACAGAACTTTATTGAACTTGCAGAAAATTGTTGTGCCAGAGTTTCAGTACAAAGGAACATGCACAAGGAATCACACAAGATATTTAAAAAAAAAAAGAGAGAATATAAAAATACCAACAATTAAGATCTAAAACAGGTCAGGTGCAGACAGAAACATTAAAGAGATTATTGTGGTGCAGGATTAATTTTATTGTGCTCTGTGAAGAAGGGGGAGGAAGTTGAACAGTTGGAAGGACTTCCTGTCGTGTTCTGTGGAGCACCTCGGTGGTCTCGGTCTACGACTGAAGGTGC